CTCTTGAGATCCTTCAGTTGAATAAAAGGGTGGTGGTGTCACTTGTACTACTTCACATTATATCCTGGGATATGAACATGACCAAAGGTAATTATCATGGGCCAGAAGAGACCATGTTTTACTCACTAATACCTTTGCTATGACATCAAATCCTAAAACAAAATACAAATAAAACCAGATTTTTCAAAAGAGGTCAAAAGATTCCAGAAATAGGATTTTTTTGCCTAGGTTTTCTTACTGAAAGTTAAATAATTCCTCTATCTTTCTTGCAAGAAATTGACCTGTTTTGAAAAGCAACCTTTTCCCTCTCTGGTGGCTGCTACCTCACTTCACAGCGGTTAAAAAGCAGAAAGAAGGCTACAGAAGACATGGGTTGTATTACATTATATTTTTACAAGTTCTGAAAAAAGTGAGACAGATTGCCTAGCAAGAGGTGGAACAAACTCCAAAAGCAGCGATCTTGGGGGACAGGTACAGGTAGAGTGCCCAGCATGCTTCTGGATGCTCAGATAAAACAGAATTTTGGACACAAGGAACACTCAAGTACTCTACAGGTAAATTAAGGTCAAAAAATAAGAAAGATAACAGGTGTCATGAAGCAAGACATGAGAAGCAGACAAAACAAACTGGGTAGAAAAGAGGAATTTAAACCCCGCATCTTGATACTGCTTTGTCTTTGAATTAAACTCTACATGGAAAGATAAATAAATCAATGAGGAAGGATCTAGACAATAAAACTACAGTCTACAAATGCTATATTCTGGATGCTGAAAATAAAATACAAAATGTAGCTAAACATACCTCACCTCTAATTTCCCCATCCTCAGTAACCAAACTAGTACACAACTATATTGGTATATAATTATGAAAAGCAAATAAGCAAAGGACCAAAAGTAGAAAACATGACAAGCCATCAGGAGGAAGTCCTGTGCATATGAACAATTAGTGTGGGACATATATTCACTTCAAGTAATCAACTTTTAGTCTTGATCTACCTTTCTTCAGCAACTTCAAGTTTAAACTAAGTGCCAATCTCCACATTTTTAAATTGCAAATTACTTTTCTAAATCACTTAAATATCCTTGAAATTTCACATGTCAACAGCTCATTAATATCTACAGTAAATGTAGCTCTCTGAAAATAACCACAGATTTTATGTTTATTGAGACAGATAGCTGGCAGAGAGAAATAGAGCTCCTTCAATTACTATTTGGCAGAAGCTAACTTTAGTTTAAAATCCGTCTACAGGAATTTATGGCAACACTGCAGTGAAGTGACTATTTTGAATAAGATTAGCTACTGTTGATGGCGATGCTTGGACAGTGTTTATAAATCAAACTTAGAACTTAGTATTTTATAATAGGCCACTTCAAAACTATCTTCCATAATCACCTATGCAGTATATTATGATAAATGCAAACATGGTTGGAGATTAAAAGTAATAAAACTATGTACACAAGGTAATGAGTGCAAGCAAACCATAAACAAATACTTTACCCATATACTTTTTCTATACCTTGTGCCTAACTTAACTCAGACCTTTGTAGAGAACAAAAGATTAATCAAAGTAGCACACCTAACACAAACTAGTATTTCAGTAACCCCGAATCTCATTTTCTTATCTGAAAAAAAATTTAAACTCATGATCCTTCAAGAAGGGAACAACATATATTCTTAAAAAGTGATAGTCTGAATATTAACACATTTTTTTGCTGATGAAATTTCAATTACATTGCTACCTCTGTAAAATGAAACTTGAAAATTCATCTAGAAATAAGTATATTAAACTAGATATACAGTAGATAAAATTAAAATGTTTTAATTCAGATGAATCTCTGGCAAGCTTTCTAAGACTTAACTTTTCACACAAAATTCAAATGGCATCAGGGTGGGGGTTTTCTGTTGGTTTTGGTAGGCTTTTTTTATGCGAGAGTACTAACTTAAACATGAAAAGCAGATGGCTTGAAATGCTTCCCTATTTCTGGGGAAGGGGTCGTACAGTATAAACATTTCTACTTTTTTTGCCAAGATATGGACTCTAGATCATGATTCAGTGAGCACGTAGACCAATTAATACAGCAACTATTAATACAAGTGAAGAATGCCTCGGTTAAGAACATATTCCCCTGATCTTAGCCTGCATTAGAGTTAGAAAATAACTCCACAGGAGAAAGGAATCAAATGTTGAAGCTTTCATTTTCATCATAAAAACAAAAGCATGTGTGAATGTAAATGAGCATATTTAAGTGAAAACAGTAATAAACAAAATCTGTATTCCACAGTTCTAATTGCCTGCTTCTGTGAGTTTTCTGAAAGGCTCTTCATCATAGCTAAAAATAGGCATGGATAAAAGAAATCGAAGTTCCAGTGGCTAACTATTATTACAGACTTTGATAGTCAATGAATATGAAAAATTGAAATAACAGAAGTGGTTCATTTAACAAAATCTAAGTAGTCTACAAGTAATATATGCACTAAGCTTAAAATCCATATGTCACTATTTTATTCATTCTATATCTTCTTACTCTAAAATAAGGCTTTTAATATTTTCGTTAGCAATCTAATAGCCAATTTAAAAATTACTGTACCAAAATGTTTGCCATTAACGTACCCTTATACATTATGCATGAGGTCTTTACAGTAACTTCAGTAAGAACCACTTGACATGCACCTAAGCATTCTTTTTGCCACTATGGCAGAACACCCATTGCATTTTCCAGTGTTTCACTACTATGTAGTTGCATATTTCTTTAAAATTATTACAATCTTAAGAGTTGCCTTTGCTACAACTGAATCATGACTTATACTGAAGTATACTATCCCACTGTCATGTAAAATAGCCCTCCTCTTGATAAAAACTACTGACTGAATTGCATCAAATGTCCTCACTCCAGTCCAAGATAGGAAGTCAGAGACTTTGTGGGCAGTATAACAGCAACCTGAGGAAAAGCAAATCATATTTCATGCAACCAAGTTCATGAGCTAGTCTTGCAAATTTTGAAATTGTGTATGATTTCACATTAGAAATAAATGTATGAAAAATGAATGGGTCCTTTGAAGGGCTGTAGCCGAAAGATTACATAAGTTTAATCTTGAATTGATGTTCAGAGAAAATGAACAGCAGAAAGCATATCTTTTTTAAGCTCTTGTTACAAGACACAAGAAAAACTGTCTCTAGGAAAAGTCTCTAAACCTAGGTGCTGGACACACAGGTGCACATGGCAAGAATTTTCACAGCAAGATGAGCTCAAAAATACGGTGTAAAAATAAAATACGATTGCAACCTTGTAATTTTTGGTGAACAAGTACTAACAATGCAAGCATCTAAGCTCACAGTGCTCTTGTTGCTACCATCACTTCAAAACCACCTGTCACGCTTCTCCGCCAAAATCCAGCAGGTATCAGCTAGAGAAGACGTAAAGAGGTTGCCTGAAACTAGTCTCCCCATATGACTTTTGCTGGTTATAAACAGAGTTACGATTTTACAGTTTAACACATAAGATTTCACACACACACACTTCAGATCAAATTTTACCAAATTGTCCACTTTGGTTGCATGGACAAATATTTATGACAGTTGAACTGCAGAGATTCGTTTACCCTCAGAAAATTATTACGCATTTTAGGCTATGACAACATTTAGTAGTAGCAGCAGCAGCGCTGCTAAGGTAATCCTTCCTTCCCTCTTACGACCCTCTCCCAAAATATTAGCCCAGCAAATTGCATAATTGCACTACCAATGGGACTGAAAAAGTAGCAAGGGGACAGGAGGCAGCTACAATCAAGATTGCTGGCAGTGCTGCCAAAAAAAAAATAAATTAAACAAATAAAAATCTATATTCATACCTCGATTTCCCATAATGAGCTACAGCAGGCACAGTGCAGGTGTCTAGCACAGAAATCTCACAAAATACATTCCATTTGTTACCTTCTAGAAAAACACAGACAGTAAAGCAGCCTCAACAGCTGCTTAGTAATGATTGATTGTCTCAAAAGAGTTATGAGAAAATTAGAGTTTTAAACTGGTAGATGGGAGATAGGGGTATTTTTAAAGTTTGTCTTGGTCAGCTGAGCCTCCAGCGTTTGTTCTCAAGCTTGCCTCAGAAGCCAGAGCTCTAGACTTGAGTCATGCTACTAAATTTTGCTGAGCAGGTGTACAAATAAGCCAAGGCTCAAAGATCCTTTTTTTTTTTCTAAAAACCAGTGTGCATCATAGTGTATAGATATATAGTTTATTAAAAAAAAAAACCCAAACTTTGGCTAATTGGTAAAGAGAAGTAAAATGAAATGTTAATCTCTTAAAAGGATGCAATGAAATATGCTACTCCCAACTGCTTCAGCAAACCCTTCTATTTCAAAGTGCAACGGAAGTACTTTTTGAATCAACTGATTTCAGTGGTATTCTGTACTCTTCTTACAAACTGATTCAGCATGGGGTAGAGATAAGACAGCAAACCAAGAAGAGCACTCTGTTCATCTCCTGCCTTATCAGCCAGATTCCACTTGCCTTCATTGTGATAACAATTAAAATGCAAAAATACTTGTATTACCATCTCTGGGCATTGAGAACTGATACAAATGAGATACCAGTATAACATTTTGTCATTAAATGATAATGGCTCAGGTAAAAATTCTCACAAGACCAGAATGGGATAATTACTGTCAGGAATGGTAATGAAGGGCACTAAATCTGTAACCATTCCTGTCTGTACAAAAGAAGGAGACATCAACAGCATCCTTGACCACATCACTTATGTTCCAAATGACTGAGCTAGCATGCAAAAATTGGCTGTTCTATTGATGGAAATAACACCCCAAAAATAAGGTAGAGACAGATGAGTAGAACTACTTGATGCTAGAGAACACAAAACACAAGTCCTGAAGGGCGCACTGATAGAGACTGATATTCTTCTAGCCAGTTTAACTCTTAAAAAGGAAAATTATTGGAGTAACTTACGAATCAACATGAAGAACCCTCTGGCCACTTCTGGCACATGCCGCTGCAATAATAGATTCAGGCAAACCTGAAAGGATACATGCAATTTTTAGAACGTAGTATGCTAAGATATATTAAAAAATAAAATAAAGTTACAACTTGGTCAGAAACAGGCAATTCAAACAAAATAAAGTCTACAGTGTGAGTCACCGAAATTTTTAATACTCTTATGCTACTAAAATAATGAACACTATTTTGTGTTCATTAACATTTTGCTATGACCCTCTTGAATGCAACACTTTTTTTTTTTTTTTTAAATAATTGTATGGCACACGTCACTTGTGAACACTACTACCTCTGAGTTAAAGCTTGTCACCAGTGTCTTCTCTAGACAGCTTACTATCATAAACAGATCGAGCACTTGCCAGCATAATGATACGCAAATTTTAATGGGATGCTCTGTAATTGTATCCCTCCTGATAAAGACAGGTATTATCTGAGGGCATTTGTATGTATTTTTGTTCACTTCAAAGTGCCTGACATAATGTGAAGATTGTGTACCAATCCATTAAAATGGTGCTTTAAAATTAAGACATTTATGGTAAACGCTGCATGCCCTGGTATATTGTCCAAGGATGCATTGGAAAGTGTGAGGGTATAAACCTGCTGGGGCGGCATTAAACAATTGTATACAGCAGAGTCCTGCACGGCGTCATCTCCTCCACATCATCTGTCGGCAAACATCTCTAGTGTGACCAGGTCTCAGAACGGTATCTGGACTTGTTTCTGATTGAACTAATTGGTTTGCTCCAGAAGAGTGCCCAGGAGCGCACTCAATATTCTGTATGCAGACCAAGACCTGAGAGTAAACAGGAAAGCTAAACCAACAGTACAGGTGTACTTCCACATCCCATTGAAGACCAATGTTGGAGACATAATTAATCTGGAATTGTCATCCTTAAAGTGGTAACCCTATCAAAAGCTCCCACATCATGCAATTATGGTCTGTCAAATCAGTATATTTTCATTATGTTTAGAAAAGATATGTAGTAAAATAAAAAAAAAAATAAAAAAAGAAGGCTCGTGGTATTTCTCTACCAGGAATACCTGCTTGAAATGGCACATGATACCAACTAGGGGTTTAATAAACAAACTAGGCTAGTGCTATATGCCACTAGCTTTGCTGAAATCTCTTTTAAAAAAAGATCTATTGGCTTTTTAAGCAGGTAATTCAGCAAGAGTGATTAAAACTCTAAGGGACTGGTATTAGGAGACACTTAGGCTATGTATTCAATTAAGGGGTGAGATTAAACAAACTGAAAGGAGTGTTTCACTGATCTGACTTACAGGCAGCACCAGAAGCAGCTGTACTAGTACAACTGAAGAGAGACAGAACTGAAAGTAAAAAAGCAGGCTTTGCACCAAACATCATCTTCATGAGAATTTCAGGCCCACAGTTGCCTGCTTCTTCAGAGAGAATACTGCCTTCACAAATGAATACAAGGTCAGCGTGTTGCTAATCTGATGAGTCATTTAAGACACATAATGCAATATGTTAAAGGTTACTGGACAACTATTTACTATTTGCAAGGTATTAGTTTTACCCTTACCTAGAGTAAGGAGCTGTTAGACTTTAACGGGATATTAAGTACAATTTAGCACTCAGACAAGAACACATTATTTTAAATGGTTGAGCTCATCTTTATTAATTCTAGAACCTGAAACACAGTCTAGAAAACACCTAGCGGGACTTAGATGCCCAAGATTATAGTCTCATGAACTCTTCAAGCCAAAGGCAAACACAACCATCAAAATAAAGAGGTTCAACCTCTCTAACTTTCTCTTCGGCCATTCCTGCCCTCCTTCCACATCAAGTAGATGGTCAGGTTTCGGCAGGCCAGCTCAGTGGTGGTGTTGACAGTCCAAAAGTACAAATGTTTGTATCAATACAAGGAAGGAGGTTTAAGACAGGCATGACAAATTTTCCAGGAAAATAGCTACAACTTTCCTGCAAATTTTCTAGTTTTAACACTTAACTATTTTGATGGATTAGAAAAAGAAAATTCCTTTCTGAATTGATAAACCAGAAAAAGTTACAATAGTTTTACACTGCTGACCTTCCACAGCAAGTGAAGATTAATGGAATTAATCCCGGGGGGGAGGGAGAAAGAAGGATGAACAATTGCAGCAGTTCCTGGGACTTTCATTGCACAGCCTAGAAAGGCTGATAGTCTGTAGTGTTGAATTTTTTGAAGTAAGAACTCAAAACACAGACCACTCTTAACAAAGGGACAAGAAGAAAATACATAACTGCAGCACGCACTTCAGGACTGTCGCAAGATCCTGGATGCACACAGCCTTACTGCGAGAAAGCAACTCCACATTCAGCTGTCCTCCGAAAGCATTTATATACACGTTTCATTTCTCTCAGTCTATAAACTATCTGGAATAGAATCTACAACTACTATTTTGTTTGTAGTTTCTGAAAAAGGTTTTCTTTCCCTCATTTGGGCACAGAGAATATTACTCTGGAAATGGAATTGAGAAAATTGTTTCTCCTTCCTTATTGATAAAAGCCACTGAGAAAGCGTTGTAAAACATCACCAGTGCTGCCTGGCTGACCAGGACTGGAGTTATAGCTACTAGGGCATAACTGATTGCTTTAAGCTTGATCCAATTGATACTGTGTTGGAGGTCTGTTCTTCCATTAACCTTGGATGAAATTGTTCCCTGAATTAGCTTCCTCGCTCTTGAAAGCTGGCATCAATTTTCTTCACCAATCCTTTGCTTCCACGATAGCGTGGCCCCCCAAGCACCCACTGGCAACAGAATGAGAAAGTGTGAGAAAGGCAAGACCCATGCATTTTAGCTTTTGGAGAGCTCTTAGAACAACTTGATGGAGCAAGACACCATTTATTCTTATGTGACAAAACCTTGGTAAACCAAAGAAAGAAGACTCTGCCTTGGCACCAGTTTCTGAATTCTCATCTCCAACAGAAATAAAAGCACACAGAAAATAGGTAGCCTTGTCAAATGCAAGTTACTCCTACATGTGACCTGGGCTGCATGATGGTTATTTCAAACAGCCTCTTCCAAGAAAGAAGGCTCTGGTAAACTAGTTTTACGTAGTCCCTCTGTAAGAAAAATAATAAACTACCTTGGAAAAGCCTCCTTAGAAAAATGGCAGAGATTTATTTAATGACAGCACGTGAAGCTGAACTATCTCCTACAGGATGCTCACATACTTGTGCAAAATGGGTCCCCTTCAGATTATTCGATAACAGAGAAATCTATTCTTTTTAAAAATCGCTCCTACTTGAAAACAGTTTCCTATTCTGACCTTTGATTTGTCAAAAACTCTAAGCTGGATTATATTCAAAGTTTGAAATGTGTTCAGACAGGGAACAGCAGACTCCAAAACTTCTCGCTCACAGTTTGGTTTGAAGATAATGATTTATTACAGAATTCAAGTGACTGCAGGGCAAAAGCTATATCCTTAATATTGATTCTCAAGTTTCACTTATGCCTAATGAGTAAATAAAGCTGGGTTTCCCTAAGCTGTTCTTCCTCCCAAAGGATTATTCTAACACTTCCGGCTACTCATCCCTCTTGGGCAACAGTTGGCTTCTGGTTTGCCAGCTTAAGGGATGAAGGACTTAACACTATGTCATTCATGATGTTTAATGTTTTTGAACAGGCAACTGAGTAATGATTTGGATCCAGTAACTTGTATCAAAGAACAACAAAATCTAACTGAGAATCTACATTTCCTTTTAGATTATAAAAAAAAAAATTCTCAAGATTGTAATGTTATCAGAATCAGTAATCAAATACTGAATCATCAAGAGATCTGCCCTCTGGTATAATTAATAGTAACCAATATTTTCCTACTAAGCTACTATGCATATTAGTTATTGTGAAACACAGCAGACATCTCATTTTATTGTATCTGAAATGAAAAGGGCTACTGGAAAATAATGTTTTCTCAAATAAGGTTCCAAATCCAGACAATTTTTAGATTTCCAATGGTATTAGCAGGAAATAAGAAGTCTGAATAGGAATTGCATGATCCAACCACAAGAAAGCAGCAACAGATCCAGACTTCACTATGTTATACATAAACATCTGGCAGCACAAAGGGAATTTATGTAGAGGAATAAGGAATCCCTACAATTCTTATATTGATTTATTATGCTGACTCAGAAGTTCTCCGTATTTGAGGCAGAATCAATTCCGAAATAGCAGTGCTTATTATCAAGAAGTATAAACACTTTCTGTGCTTCCCAGCCCTTTCATATCCCCCCTTTAGAATGCTCACACATGAAATATTTGCCTTATGTTAAATTGTCCTGCACCTCATTTCTCTCACCAGAAAAAGTTTGCCTTCATGAAGGAGGACTGATTAGTACCAGTCGAAATCTGTATCATCATTCCTTAAAGCCACTGTCTTCTTTCTCCACTTACCAGATGCAGTATTAGGTAAATTAGCCTCTCTGGCCTTCTCAAGGAAACATTAATTTTAAATTTCAATGAAGTAGGACATTACATCTGCAGACAGATGAAGAAATAAGTATAAAATCAGGGAATTTACTCATTAGTGATCTCTGAGTCACTAACATGTTCTAGTAGGTAGAATTTCATAGGTACTTCTTGACACCTAGCCAGAAAGCAATGTGTTAGCACGAATCCATGACACTGCCTCATTGAAATACAAGTGCAAAATCAAAGTGAACCAACTTCTAAGTCTTTACAGTACTGGTTCAGGAAGAGTACTGACTACATACTAGCCCTTCTGTGTTTAGACTTCTCAGATGACATTGTAAAGATACTGGAAAAAAAAAAAAAGGCAAGCAGATTCAATTGTAACAAGCTGACTCTAATTAGACTAACAAACATGGTAGCATGGCTCACTTCAGCATGTAGAAACTGAAGTTAGTCCCACAAACTTTTCTGTTTCTCCTGCTAACCGTATAATGCATTGAAAACTGCTGTAGGAGATTCCAGGACTACATCAGAAACTGGTGCAGCACCAGAATTAAGTACCCCAGCAAGGAGACAGTATAAACACTAAGTTCATGACAATCTAAT